TTGCTACATTTAATGGGGCAATTTAATTTTCTGCATGAAAACGGTTGTACGGATATTTGTGCAAATTTCAGGGTCAAAGGAATCCGCACAAACGTTTTCTTGTAAAAAATTAAAGTGGCCTGTTAAATTTGGCAACAGCTGATGTGGATTGGTTCCTTGCTGCTAAATGCAGTCCAACTATGCCTGACTGACAATTGACAACTGACAAGACCTAACTGACATTTTTGGCATAAAAACGAGTCAGTGATTTAGACGCATCCTACCGTATGAAATACGAAAGCTAATGGTTTTAGTTTTTTTTACAATTCTGTAGCTGAGCGCTGTAATGAGGCTGTGATATATGAGCAAATTGCAAATCTAAACTCAAAATTACGAAAATGGCGAGGGTCTCTCTTCGTACTGCAAAATTCTAAGTTTGCAGATAAGTGGTATTGTTCCTTAACCGTCGATATCTGTTTCAAGAACAAGTATGTATTTCACTCCTTAAAAATAGATATTTTATAACCTAAGAATTGGCAACGTCTGAAGGCTCATACGGTGTTTTTCCTTAGACCGGAATTTAAAGGCCCTCCATGAAAGAGGGGGAAAGGCTGCATTCTGATAGGAACGTAACGTCAATTGGGATCAAAATTGGAACTTTCCGCCTCCTTCAAGATAATATGGGCTATACGCGGGGAACGCTGCGGAAATTCCAGGCTTATATTTCAATGGCAGAGGGTTAGTCGCAAGCAGTGGCGTAGCCAAATATTTTTGAAGGGAGGGGTTTCATAATAAAAAATTCTGCAAAGTTGGGTCCTTGGTTTAAATAGTCTTGAAAATCGCGAAAAAGAACCCTTTTCTAAAGATTCTTCTTATACTTTATGGGGAAAATTTTTTTTTCCGATTACTTTGGAAAATGACGCGTATTACATTTAGCGTACGTTGAATTTAAGGTCTAGTATCTTGTTTAGAAATTTATTTTCGAGATTTTTTACTTCATGGATAGCTTACATCACTGAAATTTTGAAAAAAGATCAAATACCATGGTGCTCCGATTCTTATGTATCTCATTCAATGGTCCACCCCATTATAATGTTCAGTGAGGAAACGCCACCGATGTCAAATTAGGATTAGAACACAACAATGACCTGACATCTTTCGATCCTACCAAAAAAAGATAAATTGATCGATTTTTAAAGAAAATTTGATATCCATGCGGGTGCAATAACGAAAAAATCCCACAATTTTTATGTAAAATTGCAATTTTTTTGTGTCAATTCTCAGTCTAGTTGCAGAGCCGGCAGCACTGTCGGGAGTCGACAGCCACTGATTTGACGAGAGGCTTGTTCACCTTTTCGGCTGCAACTGGAAGCAATTGTGTGTGTCACTGTTTTGCTCCGATGCGGCCATGCTGAGTAACCGGCTGATTCAAAAATTTTAGTTTCACAACATCCCTGGTGATCTCATTCCGGCCCGCATCTCGCATTCTCGCATCGCACGCCGTGGAAACTATTCGCAACTGCAAATATGCACTGCACTTATTCACATGTGTGCGTCAATTTAGTTCCCAGTAGTTTTGCACCACTTCACCAATAAATTAAAAGAAGAAAAAAATTGAACTTGAACTTGATGCCTATATTTTAAGGATGAAACCATGTGGACACACGAATGTTCACAATTTTCCTCGCTCAAAACGAAAATAGGTATGGGACTTATCATAGAATACGTAACGCTCCTGAGGGGAGATATCGTAAAAGGCAGGTGGATTTTTAATGGATTTCCATCCATGAGAAGTGCAAATTCGGTAATTTTGCTCTGTAGGAAGGAAAACAGGGAGAAAAAAGTAATGATACGCTATCTCAGACGCTGGAATAGCGTGCCTTCGTTAATTGACGGTTTTTTCTTTTTTTTTTAAAGTAAAACCTGAAAATAAGTGGCAGCACAAAAACGCCATTTTTGATGTGTGATAAACATAAAAAGTAACACGCTACAACTGCTCAATGCCTAGAAAAAACAACCGGATTTGTAGCAAAATCGATTACCTCAAGCTCCAGTGTAAATATATCGAGAGGGAACGAGGGAATAAAATATTGGAAACATCTGGCTATCAAAATTCTCACATTATATCACCATTTAACGTTTTGCGTGCACACTTTAACAACTCGACACGCGCTATTTGTTCCTTAGAAATCATCACAGTGGCGTAACGTGCTGTGCGATGTATCGATTGATCTACCGTTTAAACCAAAGGCAAAGAATCTACAAACATGGTATTCGCAACGAACACCTTTATAATCGATTCTTTACCATAGCTTCAAATGGAGAAATATCGATAATAGATTACTCACGTTTCGCCACTGAAATCATCCACGGGAAAAGAGACCTTACGTAGTGCATACAAACTCCAAACTGAGAAATTAGCACCAGTGCTGAGACAGTACTACTGGGTTTCACGAACGTTTGATTATGAAAAACACCAGAATCTTTCGAACGAACTCTCAGTCATGAGCCATTAAAGTGTGAAAATGATTTAAAAAAAAAAAACACGTAGTCTTGAGAAAAAACCGCTTAAACTTTTGATTATTTTTGTTCGCGCCTCAAAACGTTTTGATTATATTGCAAATTTTCATCTTCTGTAAACGAAAAATAAATGAAACCATTCGCGACTTAAATTTTAAGGATATTAGATTGTGTTTCTGATGCATTTTTAATTTCGATATTTCAACACAACTTGATCAAATACTATGTGGGCTACTTAAGAGAGAAGGGGGTCTGAGGTTGTCTCATGAGGCCCTACTAAAGAAGAAAGGGTGTCGTGTGTCAAGCTCGGTCTCTCGTAGCCTTGCATCTCTTAATTAATATATAATACTATTTTCCAATAAAAAAATCTTAAGGTTTCCTCCGTTATATTTTGAAGAATTAGAAGGGAAAAGACAGGTATCGGGCTTGTCATAAGTAGTTCAAAAGAAGGAGCTGAGAGGCTGTTTTACTGATCTTACAAGGAGAATACTACAGTGGGCCAGAGTGCCTTACGTAATACTTTAACGGCCCCCACTTCCTTTTTTTGTGATTGGTCACATTTTTAGCATTTTTTCTTCTTTATTTTCATGTCATGCGTGCACTTTGACATGAGTCTCATTTGAACCTCGCAGACTGCAAAAAAATTAAATAGTTTGCGCACGTTTTTTGGCTGACAGTGAGGAGTCAAAAATTCGAGACCGTGTACTGCGCGATTCTGCATACATGCCCAATTGCCCCTGTCTGTCACGTTTCTGTTAAAAATGTGGGGCAGTCGGTGAATGTGTGGAGTTAGGTGTATGACACGATCCATTGCATTTACCTTAAAAGCGTAATTTTTTTCACTGAAATTGCCATGACCTTAATTGGAGCTACCTATTGTAAATATATTTATAGCAAAAAATACTCTATTTCTAATTTTCTTTTTTCATCCAGTTGTGTTTTTGCATGAATGGGAGCGTTTTATGAATTTCCCGAGAAACACACATTCGTTTATAAAATTCAAAGCTCAGCTTCTCCCCATTTTTTAGGATTAAAAGAGAAAATAATCATATTGTCTCATGGGCTCGTTCCCTCTCATCTGAGAAATTGTTTCACCTTCATTAGATTTGGCCACCTTTCAGATATGATTCACCTTCTCAGGAATGATACAGTAGCTTTTGAGACGTTCAAATGTAACGGACTGTTCGATTTCGACCTTTCCATTGAAGAGAGGCTAAGGTCAACCGATTAGAGTGTTGTTTTGTGCTAAATCCTGGATGAGATCTGTTCCGAGGAAATGTTACTTGCCACTTTTTACCACGGTTCTCGAATGATCTCAGGCGTTAGATTATCAAATTTTTATGTGACTCTCATACTGGTAATAATGCAAGGAGGCACGCAGCAGGTCGTCGATCAGAGAAGTTTAGAAGAGGTTGATGGGAAGATCAGAGTGGAAAGGTTCAAGAGCGCCTGTGAGTCGAATTTGACGCACGACGGTGCTTGCGTAGGATGATGGGTCTAGAAGCTATGGTATAATGGCGTGCTAAGGAAGAACAACGTATGCGTATTTTGCTGTTGCCAAATTTCCCCCGACAAAATATTTATTTTTGAGAATAGTTGTGCATATTTTTCTTAAAATTTTCAGAAGTTTTTAGATGAAATAGTAAAAATATAAATAGAATAGATAAAATTGCTTAAAAAATCGGAGAAAAATATTCTGAATTTTCCAAGTAATTGGTCTTTTGGTCAAGGAAATATGCCAACGTCTGAAGGCTCATATGGCACGGTAGCATATCTCCATGTGTGTAGAAATCATATGACACAAATCCTCGGATAGAAAACAATTGCTGCAATTAAGATATTTTTGGCCTAGTTTGAAAATTGAAAGCGAAAAAACGACAAGCGCAACCTCCATATCCCACTCGTGCCACCTCAATTTCCTTTAAATTTTTAACTAGAAAACACCATTGCATCCAGAAATTCCGGATTTAATTCTTGGAACGCAGTATTTACCTCCATTTCTGAGCAGGAATATGGTGCTTTTTGCGAAAAAATAATTCTCTCACGTATAGTAAATACAGAAGTTGCGAAAGGGAACCAGGCAATCAATCGATACCTCTCACTCTTTTGAAGTTCCAATCACGAATTTCAACGTGAAAAAAGGGACCAATTTCTGAAAAAAGACCAGTATAGCAGAGTCAAAATGCCATCCAAACGGTCAAATTTCTACTGAAGTCAGTAGGTATCTTAACCGATGTTACCGATGATTTACGGAGCTGATGGCATAGGATTGAGATCAGCAGAAAGCTTGAATATTTGACCTTGATTTGGGTATTTTTCTACTGGTCACTTTTATCGGGGAAGTCCGAGTTATCCCGGATAGCCTCCCACCATTAACCTATTATGAATAAAACTCTTTGTTGGCTGCAAAAATAAATAATGAACTTTTATTTGTCAAACGAACTCGATAGGTAAGCATATCAAAATCCCCCATCAGATAGAAATCCTAATGGATAAATCACCTGGTTTAGTTAGATATCCACTGACGAACAGCAAGCTGAGAAGCAAGGTTCCACTCCTGATCCGTTGGCACAACACTAAAACACAATTTCTTAACTTCACCATAGCGTCAAGCGCACGTCAGAAGCTCGCGCGCGCACAAATTTGAAGCAAACCCACTGAGAAAACGACCATTTAGGCGCACATCACAGCTGAAGCCCGCTAAGGGGAACACAAGAGCGAATTCCGTGGGATAACCTAAAACTGGGCGAGACACTAGCACGATAGACCATGGTCCTCCGAACCATCTAGGCGCGCGACCAGCTGAAAACTGGCGGTCGGTTGGTCCGCGGTCCTCCGGGTCCGCGGCCGCGGTGGGAGAGGACCGGTCACGTGACTGATCGCCGCGCTCAAAGACATAGTCCTAATGTCTAACGGTATGAGAGGTATTATTTGAACGCGTTAATTTGGCCGCCTAATTCCCGCCGATGATACAGCACCGAGGGCCTAATTGTTCCTCGCGTCGAGGTCGGCCATTGTCGCTGTATGTGCGTGTAAGGCTCGACGGTTTACCTACCGCGGGTGGGCGGTCGCGACTTTGTAACTGTTTCTTTTTCGGAGCTGGCCCTGAGTGTCATCCTCGTTTGAAAGGATTCCTGTCACGGCTCATTCGAATTGGGTGAGTGTGCTAGACGTGTTGACAAGGATAGAACAGCCCATATCCGTAGCTGGGAAAGGTCTGTGGGGGAACAAGGAACCGTTTTCCCCTTACGGAGATCTACTTATATATTTTAAGCACCTATCCACGCACAAGCTGAAGCTTCTTCGATTGCCTGTGTCACACTATCAAAACACTCCCATCAAAATGTCGTCAAAAGCGTGCGGCCCACACGCTTTTGAAGAGTTCACTGGAATAAAAACACGTTGAATCTAGAGTCTAGACTCTTGAAAACATTGACAAGTAAAAATACTCTTGATTCAATCAGATTTAAGCTTAAATCAAAAGGAAATCCGCTCAAATTAAGAGACTTGGTTCTTGATTTTAGCAAAAATCCGATTGAATCAAGAGTACTTTTTCTTGTCGATGTTTTTAAGAGTCTGGACTCCAGATCCAATGTGTTTTTTTTCCAGTGTTAGTGAGCTCTAATTGGTTCCTCAACAGAAACGTGCATGCGCAGAGCGCTGACTTTGACGTTTTGATGGAACGCTTTGATAGTGTGACACAGGCAGATGGAATTGTTGGCTGTTGTCTTTCAAAATGCCAAAATACACGATCAGTCTGAGCTTAAGTTCAGCGTTAGTTTGGCATTTGCTCCAAGCCCGGCTTTTCAAGCAACTTATTTTGTGGTGTTTTTAGTGGTAGTCCCGAAAAAATTCACCACGCCGCGCGGCTAAAATTTCACTTCAAATTGATTTTTTTTTCAAAAATCACTATGTATGCCTGGTGTCCTTCCCCTCGGGCTCGAAAGCAGCGTTCTAAGTTCATCCCGAAGTTTTGGAGCCATTCGACGAGGAGGCCCGGTAAATATGCGTCACCGTTATTTTTTCATAGGATTCACTAACAATTTGAAAGAAATTTTGCAATAAGAGCAAGGCTGCGACAGACATCAAGCCTACCTCAAATTTTTAATGCTGACGTAATGTTGTAATGTCTCCTGTATCAGGCGCCAGACTAATTTTAGGCACGTCTCGTCATCAGACGAGGAACGTAACTAAATTTCAGGGTTGCAAAATTGATTCAAACGATTCAATTTTATACCAATAAGCGCCTATGTAATTATTCCCCGAATTTTCCTGGTTTTTCCATGATATCTGAAGAATAATTCGTGAGTTTTTCAGCTCGATATGCCCGATATTTCCCAAAAAAATGCAATTTGCGAGGGCGAAATCGGCAACTTTGAAATGTAATTGCGTTTTTTTTCGCGGGGGAACGACCATTTAACGCATGACGTTCGGTGACGTTAAGAGGGAAAATTCCCTTCCTAAATAAAATTTTCCACTCCCGTCCGTCAGAGACCATTGATTGCAGTGCACCCGTTGAATGCGACAACGACAACCACCTCGTAACAACGTAGTTTGCGCTTCATGCGTCTATGACAGCGTGGCTGTTGCATGTACCTAGAATGCCTGCTGAGCTTGAAAAACTAACAAAATATTACCACAATGGGCCATTAGGTAGCACCTCTGAGTTGTATTTTCACCACACCATCGAACCTCTGACTTAATGGCGCATCTGTATCTTCACATGAGCCGCGGAGAGCAGTGTGCTACGTGGACAATAGGGCTCAGGTGGAATTGGAGATACGCCCTTTAGGCCCCTAGTGGCGCGGGGCAAGATCGTGCCCCTTAATTACCCGTTTCGGCTATGCTAAGCCACAATGGAGATGTTGCATGTGTGAGGAATTTGCGATTTGACTGTTGATTCTTATGTAAAAGTTTGCGAGAAACACGATGGTGCCACTGGTTTTCTCTGAAATCAACTGCCAAGCTCAAAAAAAGCTCTCAAAGTGAGGCCAAAATGGAGGGGATATCCCACCTTACCCTGAGAGTCCACATCTACATAAAAAAAAAAAAACTCTCCATGCAAAGATGGGGAGCAAATACATTAGCAGTGATGCCGTGTTTTCAGTTTTAGAGTCTCCAAATAAAGTGGCAGCCCTATCAATGTATTTGCTCCCTATCTTTGCGTAGAGAGTTTGTTTTGATGTAGAAGTGGACTCTCAGGATACCGTGGGATATCCCCTCCATTTTGGCCTCAACTTGAGAGCTTTTTTTGAGCTCGGGAGATGATTTCAGAGAAAACCAGTGGCACCATCGTGTTTCTCGCGAACTTTTACATAAGAAATCATTGGTCAAATCGCAAATCCCTCACACATGCAACATCTCCATTGGAGATACGCCCTTTAGGCCTCAGTGCCCTGGTAAAAATTGGCAGTAGAATCCGTGTTCCAAAATACCAGACCTAAAGCCGGCTGTAAGATTTCCAATAGCTTCTGTAGCCGGCTGTACAATTTTTTATAGCCTTTTATAGCCGATAGCGATTGAGCAACAGCCAGACGATAAAGTTTATACTAAACGTTACTAAATACGGATACCAGAACTTGGTTAGTTTTTGGACTACCGCTCTCTTTTTGTGCCGTAGTATCTTGATTTATTTTGCGAGGAAAGCTTTTTTTTTTTTTTTTTTTTTTAAAAAAAATTTT